CGGGCCCGACAGCCATCTGTTGACCGAGGGAGGGTAGGGACCGTCGCGTCTTTGAGAGGTTCGCTTCTGGGTTGTCTAAAGTAATACACCTTCAAAGAGCCTTTTAATAGGCGGTAAGTTAGGCTGCTGTGTTGTTTTTTTAAATTCAGGTTCTGTAACTGTTGTATAAAGGGGCCGGGCTTGTAAATTCCATACCTGGCAAGTCCTTGTCTTCAGACATTATTAATATGCTTATTATGGCATATGTGATCTTTAATTTTTAAGTCTTGAGAATGTCATGTTTCATATAATAAAAGTGGTTGTAGAAGAAGAGGCAGTAAAACTACTTGCATTTAAGTACTGCTGTGTCTTTTAAAAAAATTCTTTTATGCTAAGCATTAAATAAACACTTGAGTAACTCGATCAACGTTAATCTGCTTTCAGACTTCTAAATGGATTTCATCATTGCGGCTCACAAAATGTGGGCTCTCTGGATCTGAGCTAGTCTCCCAGTCCTAATCATGCAGCCAGCTCAGAGCTATTTTAGTCCTTCCAAAAGCTATAGTCGTCCAAAGCCTGTGTGAAATCATGTTGTCCCAGTTGGTCTGCTAAGGACTTCTCATGCTTTGAGGCTATTGTGGTGTGAAGCAGGTCCAGCTTGTGCAGCCTGCACTTTTCTTGTCTATATTTGAAATATTTACTACTGTAGCTTTAGTGGTTGTTGAAAGCTTAAATCCCAGCAGTGTGTTTAGTCTTTGGTTCTTATTAAAATAAGCAAAGCCATAACAAAGAAGAAGAAACACCAGCTCATTACAGGAGATTTGGAAAATAAATAAATCCTTGAAAAGCAGTTTTCTGTTCACTGATCCTTAATTTTTATGCATTTTGCAGTAGGTGACACAGCACACAAAATGAGTGTTAAAAAGCCTTTTCTTGAGAGAGCATAACCTAAATTGGTACAATAATTTGGGCTAGAAAGGACTTCTGGAAGTCATCTAGTTCAGTTTTCTGCAGAGCAGATCTCGCTCAAAACTGCATGAGGTTGCTGAGCACCTTTTCCAGTTGGGTTCCGAATTCCGACGATGGAGACTCTTCAGTTTCCCAGTGCAACTGTCCCAGCATGTAAACACTCACACTGGGAAAATATTTCCCTTCAGATCCAGCTGCAGTTTCTCCTCTTTGCATCTTGAAGTTGTTGTCTCTTGTCATTTCACTGTGCTCCTGTCTTCTGTGTAATAACCCTGGAGATAGTGAAGACACTTAGATCCCCTCTCCTTAGTCCTTGCCCATCTAGTCCCTCTGCCCCACTCACCCTGGTGTAAAAAAACGCAGCTCCGTCACGTTCTCATGCACCATGTGCTGTAGCCACCAGGCATGGTAGTCTGCCTTAGACCTTGTCCATTTTCTGTACATCTCTCTTGTACGGGGACATCCACAGCTGGACGTAGTACCTCTGGTGTGGCCTCATGATCACAGAAGGGAGGGGATTTACCACTGCAATTAGCCATGCTCATCATAGCAACAATATGCTGCTAAGCTTCACGCACACCCGCTTCTTCCAAGAGTGTACCTTCAGTACTCCAACAATCTTAGTTGATATCACCTGTTACCTCAAATGTACTTTTTTTTTTTTTGAGTTCTTTCTCTGAAATGTATGTCTTCCAAGCAATTATTCTGGATACAGCAGTCAGTCTGATGTGAATAAAACACAGTTACAGCAAAACTTACACTTTATTAGCTTGGTTCAAAGTATCTTTTATCAGTGCCATTCTTTTCAGTTTTTTTCAACTGTTGCTCCCAATATGTGAATCATGTATTTTCTGTCTTTTATCTGAAAATTTAATCTTCTAGGCTAGCCGAGGAAAAAAGGGCTGTTTTTGAGCAAGATTTGCTGATTTGAGGAGCTTGTCTCTTTTCTATATACCTAAACCAGAGCAAAAAGTCTTCAGAGCAGTGTGTGTGCATGATTTAAAGGATTTTTAAAAAATCTATACATGCCATTTATGTAAAACTGTAACTGGCAACAAAGCTGATTTGTGGCACCTAACGCTCACTTGAATAGCCAGACAACCCAGTTGTCTGGTGTAGCTAAGCTTCCAGCAGCCTGTCTGTCTCAAAATTCTTTCTTCTTAGAAATTCTTCTTCTACAGTTTAGAAATAAAGTGTTTTCAGGAGTTGTGTTGTTTCAACTGCTAGTCTAGTTTGTAACCTCAAGTACTCTTTTTTAACTGGTAGTTTTTCTACCCTCTTTTTTTGTTGTTGTTATTGATTAACCAAAAAGCCTGTGCTCATTTTATTCTGAATGGAGGAGTGGAGATGTCATTTGGCTTTCACAAATGAATTGTTTAGTTCAAGTGTTATTTTAAACTGGGAGGACAAGCTGGGAAAAGATTGAACAGGAAAGGTGCCGTTAGGGTGAGTTTTTTATTGGTGGAAAAGGTTCACTACAGTGGTATCTTCCCAGTAGAAATCGAATACGCTTAATTTCTTTCTTCTTACATAGGAATGAACTTGCAGTCGACAAAACTAAAAAGAAGAAAAGAAGAGAACTGACTGAGGAACAGAAGCAAGAAATTAAAGATGCCTTTGAGTTGTTTGATACAGACAAAGACAGAGCAATAAATTATCATGAATTAAAGGTAAGACTTCTTTTGTTTAAACAATTTTATGGCACAGAATATCAGTATCTTAGTGAGTTTTTTAAGATGTTGGCTGTATCTTTAAAAAATGCATGATATCTTGCTGGGCTGAAGGAGTGAGGATACTAAAAAAAAATAAAAGGAAATACTGCATTGGTAAGAATGAGCTTTTCTTCCCACATGGTATACGTGACACAGTAACAGAATTGCTGTAGCATCCTGCATAACGCTGGTCTGAATGCTCCTCCAGGGTTCAGTTTGGACAGATGACTCAGTGGTAAAAGCTCTGGAAAAGCTGTTTCGTTCTTTTTAAAGGGCCTGTAGAATCTAAAGCTTGGTGTTGTGAAAATCCACAGGTTTCAGATGCTTAGGTAGAAGATGTAAATCAAAGTTGTAAAACTGTTGACTACAAGCCAGAGCTTACCCACTTGCATTTTCCAACCAGGAGCCTATGGATTGTAGGAATGAGGTATGCTATTTGCTGTGCATGCGGGAGGCTCAGTCATTGCCCTTCCCAATGAAGGCTTCTCCTGTTGATAGTTGTCGGCAAATGGAGGTTAGGATGGCAGTCCTTCCTAGTGAGTCTTCCCATCTGGAAGTCTCTAGAAGTAGTACATGAAGTTAGCAAAGTCTTTTTAAATCTTCTACGATTTTTTATTCTAATTGTACTGCATCAAGAACAAAAGGTGGCTTTGGAGAGGCCAATGTTTCTGTCACATATTGGATGAGATTCTTCTGGGAAGGAATACCTAATCCAACCTGCTGGCTCCACATTCTGGCTCTACCAAGTAACTCAAAGGAGTAGGGGAGAAGTCTTATTTTTACTTCAATTGCTGTTACTGAAATGTCTTAGATACAGTGATTCCCTTCTCTTTATTTCAGAGCTCAGGTATTGTATCTTTGCTGGAAGCCACAGTAAGCGGGATAGTATTTGGGACTGTTTTGGGACTGTTAATATGCTTTTTCCATTACAGTATTTGAATTCCCAGCTGTCAGGAGTATTTGCAAAGGTGTTTCTTAGCTGTCTCATTAAATACTGTGGCCATGAAGATAATACTATGAAAGAACAGAAATATATAAAGAAAAGACCTGTCTCCTCCTCTACAAAATCATCATCAGGAGTTTTTTGAATGGATACATACAATAGGATTGTGGTTTTCCACTTCTGGTTTAGTGTATGTTCATCAGTTTGGAGGCAGTCAAGGTAGTGTGTTTAGTGAAATTGTCATCTCAGTTGAACTGAGAAACTAGACTAGTGTACTACTCACCTAATGGAAAAGTGAAAAATAGGTTGGTTTATGTTGTTCACTGAAAAGCCGTAAAATCACTTGTAAGGGGACTTCTAAACCCATGAACATGTACACACTTCATGTAAATACTGAAGAAGAATAATTTGGAGAGTTATTTTCAGTTTTATCTTTGAAAAAGGGCCAGTACTTGTAATGCTTTTGTAAGTGAGGAAGGCAAATCTACTTGTCTTAAGAAACATTCGGTCCAGTGTAAAATTCCTAAAAATGCCAAGTCTAGCTTTTTCACTGTAAATTGAAGTTCCATTTGTTAATAGTAGTTTTAGGCAATTTTTATACCCAAAGCTTTTTTTCTTCTATTAATTTTATTTATTATTGTTGCTAAACCACTGATTTCCACCTTCTCTCTTGGGAAAGAAGGTAATTACTGAAAATAAAAAGAAATCTGTTAAATCCTTGTTTTAATCTTTATATATGGTTGCACTTCCATTTTATTCCAAAAGGTGGCAATGAGAGCCTTGGGTTTTGATGTGAAAAAAGCTGATGTTCTGAAAATACTTAAAGATTATGATCGAGAAGCGACAGGCAAGATCACCTTTGAAGATTTTAATGAAGTTGGTATGTGTTTGATTGTGTACCTTTAGAAAAATTTAGCATACAGTAGTGACGACAATTTGGAAGCAGTACTGTGTGTACTTTTTCAGTTACCTAGTACTATTAAGTGGGAGATTTCGTATTTTTCTTAATAAAAGTCAATAGTGGAGGAAGATAAATCTTTGTATTCTGAATATTCAGTTTGATATGTAGAGATGAATGATAGCCACAGTATAAAAGAAAATAGAGTATACACAGTCCTAATCTTTTTCAAACTTACACAAAGGAATAAACTCTAACTCAAAACGTAGCTATTTCTGTGTTGTTTATGGATTCTGTAAGATTCTCCTTCCTGCTGTGGAAAAATATTTGGCATATGAATTGCATGGGAAGGAGTGTATACACAAAGAAACTTTAAACTGAATACAGAATTTGTATATAACAGAGATAAGAGAAATTGAAGCATATGTTAAATATGTACTTCAAGGATTTTCAACGGTTGATAAAAACAGTGGAATTTTATTAGGCTGTTTCTTTCATCTGACGATTGTGTAGTGCACAGTTTGACATACTTTGAGTAGGTAGTGATCTGCAGAATTTTTAAAGATGAGAGTTTAAGTTTCTTCAAACATTTTTTGGTTGTTACACATAATTTATACTTTTGCATACAATTTGCATTTAGGAAAAAGATAAGCTGTGTGGGATTTCTGCATGTATGTTTTTTTATCTCTATTTCATTATTCCAGTCTGTGTGTTCAAAGTACTGGAGTTCTGTAAATTTTTTTGGGGGGGGCGGGGGGGCGGAACCAACAATAAATAAACAGTGTAGTATATGTGTATTTGTTCTTGGCTACGAATAACAGTATACTTAATCTGGCAAAACAGTTATTGATTGAAATGTGGCGAATTCTAATGATTTAACAGGTTAGGATTGGACAAAATGTGTTGTTAATGGCAGATAATATTTTTGTAGCTGTATTCCAGATTAGACTAAATTATAAGTCAGAAAAGAACCAAAAATAAAGCCTATGGGGACATATGTGATCAGTCCTGATTTCATTTTAAAAAATAAACAAAAAAAGTGAGAGTATTGATTTAATAGTAATACTATTATAATTACATCATTATGCTATAATAGCATACAATTGAATATGCTGTAAGTACTGTGTAATTCTTTTTTAATTCCTGATGTTCAGTCCTGTTGTTATTCATTGTTTCCTAGTTCTGTCCAGGCTATCAAAATGTGCAGTCAGTAAGTGCTGTGAAGAGCTAGGAAAATTCCTGTAGCAAGCCCAATATATTCTTGGAAGGCAATTGAACCTGTCCCAAAACTTGAATAGGATTTGGGTGCTGCTATGATACAAATGACCTTGACACAGAATTAAACATGATACCACTTCTAGCAGAAAGATCAGGGAGTTAGAGAAAAACAGGTTATAGACGTTTTAATTGTGAAGAGCTGCTGAATATAGCTAAGCAATTCTTGAGCCATCAATTTTTCATGATTTAATGTTATTTATTGTTTTAAATGTAGGAGTGACCCATCTGAAATATGTAAAGATGCAATTACATTTTGTCATGTACAATCATGTTACCTATAGTATTTAGAGACCTAGTGCTTTATTATTCTTCAGCTAACATTGCAGTTGCCTTTTTGCCACAGAAGGTAGACTTTTTCAAATGATGTAATACTGTCATGCAGCATAGTTGTTTTAAATGTAAATATTTAAATTTAGTATAAATCTGACGGATTTATATAGACATATAAACTTCATTGCTGTAGTGAGCTTTTATGAGCTTGAATCTAATTTTTGCCTGTCAAGCTTGATAAGCCAGAGCAGGCATTCCATCTGCAGGCAGTAGCAGATACTAAGTGGTTCTCTGTGCGCAAACGGGGTTGATGTGTTTTTAATGGCTTGATGAAAGTCACAAATAGCAAGCCCTGTAATACAAGACTAGCAGGTACAAAGATGTGAAGATACTTACAGCTGGTTCCAGGAATGTCTGAAATAATTACTAGAAAAATATTTTATGTGGCAAGTTTGTCTTTTCTGTTACAGAAACTGACAAATGGTTGTGATAAAAGGAGTAATAAAGACTGATGAATCCTTCCAAAATTAACATCTTGCAGTTCATAGCAGTGTCCTTTTCATAACCCCTGGGCTTAGTTTTTTTATTAGTGTGGTTTTGTATCTAAAAGAGGGGTTCCGTGTGAATGTTTTTTATTACTTAGTGTTTCAATGTTCTGTCACAGTCAAAATTCTACCCTGATCAAAATACATAAAATTAAAAAAAAAAAAAAAAATCAGCTGTCTTCATCAATCAGAGCTGATGTTTTCTCTGAAAGGTAAGTTTGGAATGGAGTAGGCATGTGTATACTTTTAATTCCTATTGAAAAGTGTGTTGAAAGCGTGAGTGTATCTAAATCGCTATGTAGCTTTCCACTGCAACAGGTACGTCCCAAAGAGAAGCTCAGCTTGGGAAAAGAGAGGTGAGAAAGAGAGGTCAGATAACAGCCAAACAAATATGCATGTTGAATTGAAACATATAAAAATGAAGGAACAGGTAAAATCATAAGTGTATGTTTTTCATATTGCCTCAGTCTGCTACAGTCATTCTGAGTTTACCCTGCAGAATTTTTTAGTTTAACTTAAGTATTCTTCTTACAGTGACAGACTGGATATTGGATAGAGACCCACAAGAAGAAATACTCAAGGCATTCAAATTGTTTGATGATGATGACTCTGGTAAAATAAGTCTGAGAAACCTGCGCCGGGTTGCTAGAGAACTGGGTGAAAATATGTCTGATGAAGAACTACGGGCTATGATTGAAGAATTTGATAAGGATGGAGATGGAGAAAGTATGTGTTAGCAAACAAAAGCCCATATAGTCTGCTCTTAATTTTCTCCCCTTTCTAAATGTGATTTTGTTGTGAAAATGTCCTCTATGGTTTCCTGCTAAATAACTTTCAGCTCAAACTTAATTTAGCTTACAAATAATGGAAGTTGTGTTTGACAGCTACTAATCCTGGAAATATATCTTGGAGTGTAAAAATCAAGTTGATTTCTCAACTTGATTCACCACTAACTCTTACTCAACCAATGTCTATTGAAGGATATTACCCTAATAAGTCTATGCAGGATCATCTTGGATAGGTCTTTAAAACGTACTTCTGAACTTAAGAGTGCTGAAGAACATAGTGTGAAAAATGGCTCTGGGCAATTGACAAAGCCCACACAGAGTGGGTGGCAGAAGGGATTTATTAGCCGGGTAAAGAATGCGTTAAGAAATCCAGTTTGATATTATGCTTATTAAATCTTTGTGAGCACTGAAACTTAGGGTTTTTTTAATTAACTTGAAAACACCCGTATGTTTACACCAGAAACCTTAATATCTGAATTTCAGGGACTGCTCATTTGAGACTATGTACATAAACACTGCATTTTTAACAGTCATCGAAACCTACTTCTGAGTTTTTCTTTCAGGATGGTGACTCATGTTTGAGATTTTACTAGCAGTTCATCGAGTTTTCCAGTTACAATTGTTTTTCTACTTGTAAGCCACCACATCTGTTGGTCTCAAAACTCTCACTACTAGTGAAAAAAAATTGTGGTGTTGTCAGCGTTGTGACAAGACACTCGTCCCCTCTGTGCTGTTTGAGATAGATGATGTTCTATGCTTGGGCATAAAGTTACTCAAGTATTGAAACAAGCCCTTTTCTTTCAAGGGGAAGAGTAGGACACTTTAAACATGGTCAGTGGTGTGGAAATGAGAACTTTTTGTTCCATTGTAGTGGTGTAAATAGGGATCCTGAAGACAAAGATAGTGAAAGGTCAGTGATTCAACTGCTGGAAAAGTATTAATGTTGAAACTGTTACTAGTAAAGTAACTGTTGAGAAAAGTGTGTGACTTCCATCCATTCGGAGCTGTTGTTTTCTGATATCTTTCAACGGCCTGAGGCCATGGTTCTTTAATAAATCCATGCTGCATAATTCAGAAATTCCTCCACACGCCTAGGTGTGTCTTCCCACCTGTTTCTGGCACTGGCAGTATCTGATGCCACAGGTGAGGTATTTTAAGAGAGCTAAGCCAGGAGAAAACTACTCATGTAGGTTTTTAAACGTTCCTTTTCTTGCTGCTTAGATCCCTGAATTATCTCACTGCTGGTTAGATTTTCTTGGAACTGCACTCTGAGAAAATAGATTTTTGTTTTTTCTCAGTGTTTCCTATAGGATAATTGAAGCAGGCCAGCACAGTGAAAGCTGCAGATCGTGTTTTCAGGCAGCTGTGTGCAGTGACACACAGGATTGCAGCTGTGAATTCTGGTAGACAATAAGTACCTATTTACTTCCTTCTCAGTAGCTGTATAGCAGTCAAGGAATGATGCCTGTTTTCTCAATCCATTAGATTGATTGCTAGTCTAGGTAGAGACTTCAATTTTGAGCTTGTTTTGCTTTTAAAGAGAAGAGTTGTAAGGACATTGCATTGCTAGCTTTACTTT